GAACAATCAACCAATGGAACAGAAGTTCCCTTCGGAAGTTGTTGGGAGCTTCATCCCTGGAGGCTTTCAAGAAGAGACTGGACTGCCATCTGTCAGAAATGGTGTATGGTCTCCTGTTTGAGCGGGGTGGCGTTGGACTAGATGAACTCTAGGGTCCATTCCAATTCTGTTAATCTATTAATGTTACGGGCACGAAAGTGACTTGCCGCCTCCGCCTCCTTCCTGGCGGTTCCCCCTTTCCCAGCCATTACAGGCTCTGGACTTCGAAAACCACCTTCGTTTCCCTCCACGACCCACCACAAACCAAACGCCCGAAATAGGACGGAAAGGCGGGTTTGTTGCGCGGGGGACCGCTGGGCGCTGCCCGCCTCCGCCTACCTCCGAGCTTCAGAGTCCGGTTGGAGACGCGGTCGGCTAGCGCCAGAGGCAGTTTGGCCTTGATCGGGCGGCGCCTGCCCGGGACCTTCACGAAGTCGCCACAGTGGCTCCTCAAGAAGGAGATTCCGCCATGAGAGCCCGCCATGGCACACCGGAAGAGCGGTCGCCACGTGATTGCCCGCGTACCATAGAGCCGCACTTCCGGTGCTCAAGAGCGGCAGCCACTGAGATCCCCAGCGAGTGTGCGCCAAACTCTCCCGTTGGGCGGAGATGTCCAGCCGGGAAGCCGCGGACTTCTTGGAGCTGCTCCCGTGTTGGAGCGGCCGGGGCCGGCCGCGCAATCCCCCGATATTCTGAACGCGGGGCTCCCCGCCAAAGTGACTCGGGAGGAGGAGGGTTAGAAAGAGTAGTGCAGGGGTGTCCAAACTTGGGAACTTTAAGACTTGTGGACTTAAACTCCCAGAATCAGTGTCACTGTTTAAAAGTTCAGTGTTTAAAATGACAATTTTTGGCTTGTTCAATGAAAGATATGGTTAGTTTTTTGAACTCTGTACCAATGAGATCGGTGTAATTTAGTTCTGCATTAAGATCTGTAGGATCATGCTGTATTGGGGGTATATGATTAAAATCTTACCAATCCATTGTTCTTCCAGTTAAATGAGACTGTCTCTTATTTCACACTGTAAGAGTTCTGATCTTTGAAAAGAAAAGCTGGCATTTATTGATGCAGCCATTCAACATAATCAAGTCTCTTCCACAAACCATTTATTCATAGCTTAGTGATTTCATTTAAAGAGCTGCTAAAACTTATTTGAAGAGTCCCAGGATGCAGAACATTATACCAGAACATTATACGTAACTGCTTGAAATCAACTGAGGCGCAAAAAACAACCCAGAAAGATGGTGATTATTCATTTTAGCTATGAGAGTGGATATATAGCTTTATTCTTGCTTTCAATAGAAAATTTCTGTATTACATTCCCCAGTAACATCTTGGTCTAAATACTTATTGAAATCTACATATGAACCCAATAATGTGTTTTAAAAATACCAATTTGCTACATTTATTCAGATTCTTTATTGATGGATTTATTCTGTTCCATCATAGAGTCATAGAGACTCAAGGGAACGAGGGACCTGGGAACAAATTTAATGTGATTTCTCAGCTAATATATTTTCCTTTCTGTAATATACAAAATGTAGTTGCTTAAGAAAATTAATTTTTGTTTTAGAGGAACCATGTGGCAGTTGCAGTCAGAGGTGAAACAATTTACTGATGCTGAAATTTGGCTTTGAAAATTTCTCCTTTCCTTTAATAAGTACGACATATGTAGCCAAGCCTGTTAAATGGCTTTGTAATGAGGATTTTAGAATTATAGGACTCTTTTGAACTTGCAAATTTAATGAATGCGAATAAAGTCAGTTTCTCATTGTAGATATATTCTATTGATCTCCTTTTTATCAATGTATGCTTTTGCCAATCATGAATAATTTCTTACATGAAGGTACCTTTGGGTACCTTATTTTCAATACCTGTCTTTCTATCCATCCAACTGCACTGAATATTCCGATGAAAACTTTACAGTAACCAATTGTGGTTTCATGTCATTCAACAGATTAGTCTCACTATTTTTTTCTGGCTACCAGAGACCTCTTGGAGACAAATACCATTGGCTGCCATAAGGTTCTGCTAAGATGCTAGTTTGGGATTGATGGTTTCTATATTTTTGAAATGGTTCGCACACCTGCAACAATTTCAGAATAGTTGCTCAATATGTCTAATGCAGCCTGAAACAATATTTGCAGTCCTGTCACTATTTTCCTGTTCAGTACTATATCTGTAATGTCCTTAGGCCTCCCAGTGCCAGGTATGACATAACATCTGTCTCAAGCGTTTAATGAGCAGTATGGACCATCTTGGCTCAGCATCTGCATTCATTTTATGTCTGATAAATTATGATATATATGATATTTTTTAAACAGCACCAGAAAGTCTTCCTCTGTAATTCTTCTTGAATTCTATTAGATTTAGTTATTAACAGGTGAAGGATACTTAAAATAATTGCTTTTCACGTGGAAAAATAAGCCTATACATTAAAAAGATATGGCTAGGTATCCATTCACACTGTGGGGAAAAAACAGGAGGAGGAGGGAGTCAGGCAATGTGCCTCATGCTCACATTGGTAAGATGTTAATCTGAAAGCAAAGTGGTTGAATTTCTTATTGTTTTTGGAACATTACAATATTCAGACATTTTGACCTTTTTGTTTAAATTAATTATTTAAATTATATAAATAATGGCAGTGAATGTTACGCTCTGGATATTATATACCAAGTCTTAGCAAAAATTAGTAACAATTCTCACAAAACTCCACCTTGCACATAAAACAGTTATGGTAATTCCCTTTTTTCTAGCTAGCTATCACCTTTGTTATTCTTCCAGATTTCCCACTGTCTTTGGATTATACTTTTTTTTGTGCAGTGAATTAAGTCTCAAAACTAAAACATAGAATCAGGATTGAGAGGGACCTTGGAGGTCTTCTAGTCCAGTTCCCTACCCAGAGCAGGAATCGTCATACCATCCTGAACAAATGCCTGCCCAATCTTTTCTTGAAAACTTCTGTGATGAAGTATTCATGAGTTCAGGAGGCCGGCTTCCCCACAATTTAATAACTCATGTTAAGGAAATTCCGCCTTAGTCCATGTTTTTTCAGCGATCCCATGTAAACAGGAAACATGATTAGATGAGCTAATTCCACCTTATTTGAAGCTGTATTAGCAGAATTTTGCAAACTTCCTGCCACCATTTATAACTGAACAATTAGGGTGGGTTCTTCCTAAATTTCTTCCTTTGACTATTAATGAATCGGGGGCTCTTCTCTCTCTTGTCTGATCACTGCAGATGTTAAGTTAGCAAACGGTTGTTAAATGAATCTGGCTTCCAGTGGAGGGGTTCCTACCGATTCGGCCCGGTTTGGCCAAACCAGTAGTAGCTTGGGCAGCGACCCATGCCTGCCAGGCTCCCAAACTGGTTCTCTTGACAGCGCCATAGGGGCCACCATCTTGTTTTTTGCTTCTGTCCATAGCAATTTAAATTGTACTGTGCATGTGTGCACGCACGGCGCGTGCCTGAGTGAACCGGCAGTAGTCTGCTGGAACCCACCCCTGACTGTAACCATCATAAATATGAGTCAGTTGCCAAGTGTCGGAATTGTTTCTCTCGTCTTGCATGTGGGGGCACCTCTAGCAGATAGAGCCATCCTAAAAACATCTGTTCAGATTTTATGAGCTAAAATCAATAAAAATATTATAGCTGTATCAGAATTAAAGCAATAGCAGATTCTAGTAGCTTCACTGTTTCAGCCCATTTCTGAATCATTCTAGGCTTTTTTTTACCACTCTTTTTTCTTTTGTTAAACCCTCTTTTCCGCTTATTAAAGCCCTTTAAATAAATAAGCCCAATGTAATTTTTACCTCTTTAAAAATGCACAAAGCCTGCTGGTTACCTAATAGCCCATGAACGGTTGTAATACTACATTCAGAGCATTTCAAATTAAAAGGGAAAAGGTTTCTCTCAGAGCCCCCAGTTTATCCACATACATTCCCTTGAATAATTTGGAGGCAGAAAATTTGAATTTATCTCTAATCTTAAGTAATTAGGCTCTGAAAAGTAGTTAATTAAAGATTTGTTTGATTTGTATTCCACCCCACTTCCTGGCGCCCAAGGCAGCTTTACATGGGATCTGCCTTCATATTTATCCCCACAACAGCAGTCCTGTGAGGTAGGCTGGGCTGAGAGACTGGGCTGATTCAGTCAGGAAACGAATTTCCACCATTAAGGGATGACTTGATCCTAATTCTCCATGGTCCCAGAACAGCACATTAACATTAGTACACCGTTGCATTTTCAATTCTCAGTATATACAAAGGACTTTTATTTACATAATTAAAAAGTATATTTAATGAATTGCAGTAGTATCAAGTAATAAAAATATTTTATAAAAACAATTGATTTGATTTAATTCTAATTAAAATCAGCAGAAATGTTATTGTCTTATTCCTGGATGGTATATCTGGTATCTGCCTGATTAACACATTCAGTTGTCATGTAAGGCAAGTTGGTAAGAGTACATATTCTGCCCATTGTTCATATAACATGAAAGAATCCTAATTGGTTAGTTATGCTGAGTTCTTTTCAAGAAGATTTTATGCATATAATCCCAAAACTTCCCTTGATGAGTTTCATTCTGATGAATCATAGCTGTGAGAGCTTCCCCTTGATCAAGACTCTGCCAGTAATCTTGAAGCCACATTTCTTTCCAGCTGAAACATAGAAGAAAAATATTCTTTAATTTTTTTTGTCAGATAATAGATCATATGGTCAAAATAAAGCATGATTTTGCAACTAAATGGGAAGATAAAAACAAAGTAGGCTGTTACTCACTTGCCTAGATATTGGCCAACATTTTGGTATTAATCTGGAACTTCATGAAATATTTATTTCTAAAGTTAAATCACATATTTTCTACAGAAATTAATAGCCTTGTTGAAAGAAAAATCTGGAAACAACATTAATATATGTATCTGGATCAGGTGATGTAGAAGTGATGATGAATAAGCTATTACAGTTATGATCTCAAACTATTTTTGCATACAGTAAAAATCAGTAAGACTAAACATAATTGTAATAGCAATTGTTTCATCCTACATACTTATGGTTATGTTGCCTCTATTGTATTATGCATCTAATCACCTGCCTATGTTCTACAAACTGCAACATTTTAGGAGAAGCAGATTTAAGACAAGAAAACCTCCTCCTCTTAGCTTTCCTGACTTTATTGATGAGTTAAGCTGCTTTCAAAATGAAAATCCCTCTTTCAGTAATTATGCAAAAGTAAATGAAATTGTTCCTTCCATTAAATTTGCAGTTTTAAATTTTATTAGAGCTTTTTGCTTATCATCAGTTTCATATTATAATACTGTAAGTTTTGTTTTCTTTGACATATAGCTTAAATGTAATTATTAAAAGTAGTATATTTTTTCTTCCCTAATACCCCAGTGAAATTATTATTTTTATTCAAGGGTTGGGTGTAACACAGATGCATGTTATTGTTTCAGGTGGTCATGAAACAATATATGTATCTTGAGAACTCTTGTTTTAATTAGTGGAGGCTGCTGTGTGAGAGACAAATGTTGTAGCACGGTAACTCTTCATATTCTTCTATTAAAAGCACAAACACTGGGATTGGTTGAAAAGTTGGCATTCTATAGTTTACATATTCTGCAATCCTATGTGATGTCTGCATTGAGAGAATGATCAGAATTACCCATTCTTTTAAGCTTATTTTTATAGTGAGAATATTAACTACATAATTGTATTTAAAATTTAATTTAAATCTAGACATTCAGTGTAATACTAGGTTGTCCTAAAATGGCTCTAGAGTACAATGTATTTAATAATATAATTGGATCATGTCTTTCCAGTCCAGTTTCACTTATATGGTGCGATTTTGCAAACAGCTACGTAAGAATGCATTCTATAGTTTAGTTAACTCAAAAGATAAAATTTAAACACAACAATGAATTAACTTTATATCCTTAATAATAAATACAACTACCTGTCTCCATCAGGAATGTCTTCAATATTGCCATAACCAGGTGCTGGTGAAGGACATCCCATGTGTGTGTTCTGTGCGATATGAACTTCTGGAGCTAGTGATTTCCCATGAGTTTTTTTGTGTTCTCTCTCTGCATTAAGTCTTGCATTTTCTCGGTCACAGACGAAGCACTCAAATCCATTTAGATAATTAGGTAGGGACATGTCATTTACCCCCCATTCACGCTTCCTCATGTTCTCAAGCAAGAACTGGTTTGTAATACCATGTGGACTCTTGTACTTCAGATATTTCAAATATTCATCTGAGTTCCTGTCCAAATAATCAATATATTCTGCAAGTTCTTTAGGGCTTCCAAAGTCATCAATAAGAATAATGGAATGATCAGCAGGCATCCAGTCTCGTACAGATGGTGAACCTCGATATACAGGGATAGCCCCTACATGCATTGGCCTCCAAAGTTTCTCTGTCATATAATCAGGACATATGGCATTCTCCATAGCCAGGTGAAATTTGTATTTAGAAATAAAATTCATGAATTCAGAGTCCTCTGTAGTGGCTGTAGAAGTGTCCATCAATCTCATATTGGGAAGTTTTTGGTTGTTCAGGCATCTACCATAAGAGTCTACCTAGAAGAGTGATGATAATAATTTGTTACATTTTCCCCCATCTTCTCTTCTTCCCTCCCCCAGTGCATCTTTGCTATAGAAGCAGCAGCTAGAAAATTTTAAATATTCTTTGTCTTTTTTCATTAATACCCAGCCATTAACCTATTATGTGACAATAACCTGAGGGGGGAAAAATCACATCTCGATAAACTAATAACTTCCTGAGATAAATTCTCTCCTAGTTATCTAACATAGACTTGTGTGGGAAGTGCACCCCAAAAAGACAGTGCCAGGAACCCCTGAAACAGTGCAGACAATAAAAACAGCAGAACCAGGAGGGAAGCCCTCAGGAGATAACTGCACATCAGGGCAGACTGCCAAAATCTATTACTAAAAATAACAAGGCAGACCTAGAAAATACTCAAACCTAAGCTAAAAATAAATCACCAAGCAAAACCAATACTCAAACCTAAGCTAAAAATAAATCACCAAGGCAAAACCAAAACTCCCTTTTTCCTGCTCTGATAGGATTAACCCATTATGGCAAGAAGACGGCTTCACCCAAAGACACAGATCAAAACCCATCAAACTGTTGGAGCTTCAAAGGAAAATCAAGTATAAGAAGGCATGGCCTCCCCAATCTGCTTGCAAGCCAGAACGCTTGAGCTGTGTCTTGTCTGCTTCTTGCCTTCCTACATTAAAAGAATTCCGCTTTCTGGCAGCTGGCTTCTGAATCCATTTCTTCTCAGCGTATGTGGCGTATCCTAGCTGAAGAACAAACCCGGGAGTTTTTCTTCTCACACTTGACACTCAAAGTTCAAAACATAATGACAAACAGGAACTTATCAAAAAATGTGGTAAACTGCTTGCCATAACTATTGGTAGGACCATCAGTTTAACCCAAACAAGCTTTTTTTAGCAACTTGTCAGCTCTGAATCAAGAGCGACCGACTTACCTATCTATATGTCTCTGACTGTCTATCTAACATCTATCAATATCTATCTCATTCCTTTTTTTTGTTTTATTTATATCCTGACTTTACAGATAGTTCTCAACTTATAACCACAATTGAGCCCAAAATTTCTGTTAAGCAAGGCAGTTGTTTTACCCAATTTTACAATCCTTTTGCCACAATTCTTAAGCAAATCACTGCAGATGTTAAGTGAATCACGTAGTCGTTAAGCAAATCTGGCTTCCCCACTGACTTTTCTTGTTGGAAGCTCACTGGGAAGGTACAAATGGTGATTACATGAATCCAGGACAGTGCAACTATCATAAATATATGTCGGTTGCCAAGCACCTGAATTTTGATCATGTGACCTTGGTCTGCAACAGTTGTATGTGTGAAAAATGGTCATACATTATTTTTTTAGAGCCACTGTAACTTTGAACATTCACTAAATAAATGGTTGTAAATTGAGGACTAATTGTATTATTTTAATAAAATAAAACTTAAAGTGGCAAACTTACTTAATATGCCTTCTCCCTATTTTCCCCTCAACAACCCTGTGAGGTCGATTGAGCTTAAAAAGAAGGATGCCCAAAGTCACCCAGCTGGCTTTCATGACAAAATAGGACTAGGCATCTCTCTCAGTGTGTGTACACATACACAAGACCACTCCCCACATTCATTCATTTTCTCTTCTCATTCTTCAGCTATTTTGCTTTCAAGATGAGGAAAAGAGATGACTTCCTAACTTGGTGCCATACTTATAGATACAGCATGTGGACTACTGGTCAATGCTTTTCACATGAAGTAATTCTCAGATCATAGGGAAGAAGCAGGTTTCACACAATCAAATCTCAGTGAACTTTATTGAATGTCCTCCTAATCTATGCAGAACCACACAGTTCCACTGTGACTTGCGTGCAAATTGTAAGACATAACTTACAATATAAATGATTAAAAAAAGGATAAGCAGTTATAAGATGCTGAGTTCCAAAACAAAAGTTTATTGGTGAAGAACTGAGAAAGCAATGTAGTATGGTTAAACAATCTACGGGACTTAATAATATTTGAATATAAAACCACCAGGAAGTCCTAGTAAATTGGACACATGGACCTATTTATGTAGACTAAGGTGACCAGACGTCCCGCTTTTGGCGGGACAGGAACGATTTTTCATCATTTTTCCCGCGTCCCGCCCGCTTCTCAAAAACCCCCGCTTTATTTCGGCGCTCGCTGGCTCTCCCGCCCATCATCAACTGCCGGCCTGGACTCCAGCCAATCAGTGAGCTGGCTGGGATGGAAAACTTTAAGCACGCGGCATCCTAGCCAGCTCACTGATTGGCTGGAGTCCGCTTAAGCACGCCGCACGAGTCTCCATTTCATTTCGCCTTCGCTGTTTGCTTTTGCTGCTTCACTGGTGAGTAACTGGTGGGAATCGGGAGGCTTTGCCGCTTAGAGTGGGCGGCGGCAGCCTTTAGCAAGGGAAGGCCTTCCCTAGGGAGTCTGGATTTCCCCCCCCCCCGCCTCCTCCACTAGCCTTTGTCCCTC